TTCCCCTGCTCCCTCTTGTGCGTCTTTTCCCCGCGTCCGCGCGCTCCCGCCAGTCTTTTTTTAAATTCCCGCCCCCGCCCTCCCCCTCCCCGTCTCCTCCTCCCCCTCTCCTCTCCGCCCCTCCGCCTTTCCCTCCTCTTTGCCCCTCTCCCCCTCCCCAACTCTGCCTATCAAATAAATAAATAAATCTAAAGAAGAGAAATCTGCTTTTAGCTACATCTGTCCTGTGAGGTTTCCTAGGGCAGAGAGGTGATACTGTGTGTTATCTATTAGTCACTAATTACCTTTTTTCCTGTGTGATGTAAGGATCCTGGGTCTGTCAGAGATGGGCTTTGATTCTATGTACTCTATTCTTGTTCTCTCTTACCTTCTTCTTCTTTTTTTTTTTTTTAAAGATTCATTTATTTATTTGAAAGGCAGAGGCAGGCAGAGAGAGAGAGAAATCTTCCATCCACTGGTTCACTCCCCAGTTGGCCCCAACGGCTGGAACTGAGCCTCTCTGAAGCCAGGAGCCAGGAGCTTCTTCTGGGTTTCCCATGCGGGTGCAGGCCATCTTCTACTGCTTTTACAGAGTGTAGCAGAGAGCTAGGTTGAAATGGAGCAGCCAGGACTTGAACCTGCGCCCATATGGGTGTCAGTACTGCAGGACTCTTGGAGCAGTATTCATATGTGAAAGAGATTAGTTCCACAGTGTTGACGTGGGAAGACTGGCCTCTGGCTTGCCTTGTTTCTGTCCATTACTAGTTCTGATTTATTCCTTTTCTCATATATTAAAATTTCATTGTACTTATTTAAGGTATACAATATGATGTTATGGGATGCCTGTAGAAAGTGAAATGGATTCCACATCGATCTAAATGAACATAACCATCTTCTCACATAGTTTTTGTGGTGAGGACAGCTAAAACCCAACTACATAAATCCCAACTACAGTACAGTCAAATACCTGGAGTCCTCACAGTGTATACTAGGGCTCTAGATTTGCATCCTGCATACTTCCTACTTTGCATCTTTTGACCTACATCTCCGCAAAACCTCCCTTTCCCCAAGTCCCTGGTTACCATTTTTTATTCATCTGCATAATTGACTTTTTTTTAAGATTCTACATACAATAGGCCTCATGCAGTATTTTTCTTTTTTGTGTCTGACTTATTTCACTTAGGGTAGTGGCTTCCAGGTCTGTTCTCCTACTTGTTCTAGAAAAAAAAAAAAAAAAAAACAAAAAAAAAAAAACAACCACTACATCTCCTAACCTTTAGAATACATTTATGGGCACTTAGCATTTACTTTTCAGCATCTTTATTTGTATTTTTATGTGAATTTTTATTGCATCCTATAAAAGATTATAAGTTCCTTTGAGGACAGGTAGATATAGTTTTGTGAATGTAATATCCTCCTCATCCAGCAATCAAACGAGACATCAGTTAAAAATATCCTATGGAGATCTCGAAACTGGTTCTTTCATAGGCCTTTAGGCACAGTAGAAAGTCTAGCCTGAGTTGATGCCACACCAACCCCAGCTCTGGCAGGTTTCTTTAAAATTTTTATTTATTTATTTGTTTGTTTTCAATTTGTTTCACAGAGAGAAAGATGGAGAGATAGAGTGATCTCCCATTTGCTGGTTCATTACCCTTAATGTTCCAACAGCCAGGGCTGGGCCAGCCCAAAGTCAGGAGCCCAGAATTCCATCCAGGTTTCCTATGTCAGGGGGTCAAGCACTTGAGCCAACATCCGCTGCCTCCCAGGTGCATTAGCAGGAAGCTGGATCAGAAGTGGAGGTGCGGAAACTTGAACCCGTCCTCTGATTATGAAATGCAAGTGTCCCAAGTGGAGTCTTCACCACTGTGCTAAATGCTCTTTTTTTGTATCCAGTTGTTGGTATTTTGTGATAGCTTTTAGTATAATGTTTTGCCAAACAGGAAGACCCAGGAATAAAATCTTTTAATGATTTAAGACTTGAATAAAACTCTCAAGATTGTGTATGAATGAGTGTCATCTCTATAGAATCTCTCAGAAGGAAGATATCTCAGTGTTCATCTCTATGGTGTCCCAATCCTAGGCAATGTCAGAAACCCTCCAGTGATCTGACTGTTCTTTGCAATGTCAGGGAGGAGAGGCTGTCTTTCACATATGACAGGGAGACTTGGCCTGTCTCCTTCTCTGACTGTCATATGCATGGCCTTCTAGACCCAGCTTAACAGTACTTGTGCATGGAATCTTTCCTAATTCCTTCTTCTGGAGCTGTGAATTTCTTCTTGTTGCCCCCATGCAGTGTGTTTGCCTCTGGTATAGCTCCATACTGTTCTAGGTTAGTCGTTGGTGGTCATGCATTTTTGCTCATCTTGTTTCAGGGATTACTTGACTTGTCTGACCCTTCTCCTGGGCTGCAGTTTTTTCTTGGGTGAGGACTATGTTTTTTCATCTCTGTAGTTTCAGCCCCTGGCACAGATTTGGCGTATGGGAGCAGCATGCTAAGCCTTATAGATTAATGAATATATGAAATAAATTCATTTCTAGAGGTCACTATAAAACCCTATTTCTGGGATTAAGAAATAGCTCTGAAGTCAGTATTTCAGATGTTGGATAAAGGAATTCTCAGCACCTGTCAGAACCTGGAAGTCAGCTGAGGGTGTTCCTTTTGTTTCTCCTCTTTGAAATCGACTCACATTGAGTTAGCATGTACAGACCTGATCCTTTCATTAGCAACCTTTGAAAGGTTTAAACAATATCACCTTGTAGAAACGTGGGAATTTCTAGTTGATCACACATTTCACACAGTGAAATCTCTGGTGACCACAGGAACTTTTAAAATTTTATTAACTTTGTTGCTTCCCAAAGTTATTTCTCACACTTTTCCCTTTCTCCTTCTCTCTCACACTCTCTCTCTTCTCTCTCCCCTTCTCTTTCCCTCTCCCTTTTCCTTCTCCATGTCTTCCTCTCTCTGTCTCTGCTTGCGCAGTAACTGCAGCAGCTACAAACTTCCTTGTTTTAGCCCTCCCATCCCTCTGTGGATTTGCATACAGGAGAAAAATCTCTTGTGTTTTTACTTTACTTCATCTGTCAGTTACAATTCATTTATCAATATTTGTTCTCCTTCAGTAGACTGCAATGTGGGGATGTTGGAAAATGGGGTGAGGGAATAGGGTTGAAGGATAAGTATACACAACTACTGTGTGTACTGTGTGTATATATATGTATATATATACATAATAATATATATACACATATATATGTGTGTGTATATAATATATATACATTATATATATAACTTCCCTGCTTTTTATACATGGAGTCCAACAGTTAAAAAGATAATTACAATTGTGTCAATTTCCTTTATAGAGATGTATACAAAATGCTATGGGCATACAGAGAAGAAGGGAGTACTCAGTTACCTAGGGGCTCAGGAGATGTACTGGGCTGGATCATAAGGCAGGAGTCAACATTTTGTAGGTGGAGGATGCTGGCCAAAGTGTTCCAGGCATGGGAGCAGTGTGTAAGGAGGCCCTGGTCCCTAGAAGATCACAGTACATTTGGGGAATGGTGTGAGGTGGAAACCATGATTGGAGTCAGATTTACGCTGTGGATGTTGGAGGACACATGAGAAAAATCTGATTCCTACCCCTCCTCCTGCTCCTTCTATGCTTAAGGGTATTTTTTTAAAAGATTTATTTTGTTGTTTGAAATGCAGAGTCACAGACAGGAAGAGAGAGGGAGAGAGAGCGAGCGAGCGAGCTTCCATCCGTTGATTCACTCCCCAAATGGCTGCAGTGGCTAGGGCTGGGCCAGACCAAAGCTGGGAGCCAGGAGCTTCTTCTGGGTCTCTCATGTGGAAGGAGGAGCCCAAGCACTTGGGCCATCTTCTGCTATTTTCCCAGGTGCATTACTAGGGATCTGGATCAGAAGTGGAGAAGCTGGGTCTCAACCATATGTGATGCTGGCATTGCAGGCAGCAGCATTATGAGCTACACTACAACACCAGTCCCAGGGTCGTGGCTTTTAGTCAATAGAATGGATTGTTTGCTTTTGAGGGGATATCCTTATAATTTCTTCCTTCCATTATAAGAAAGGGCACACCTGGCTGTTCTATTCAATGATATTTTGCTGAGCCGACAGCTTATAACACATGGGGGAAATTTGCCCTTATGCCAACAGGAGAATGCAGAAGTAGAACACTCAGTTTTGCAGGGTCTCATATAAACCAGTGAAATTGTTATGACATGACTGATCCCAATTTGAGCTTGGGGTGGTTGTATCCATATCAGCAATACAACTATTTTTACCCTGTTTTCTAAAGTAGTTGTGCGGATAGATCCCTCTTTTCATTTTCAAAAAAAGGTTTAACATTTTTTTTTCTTTGAAGATAAGAGTTTCATACACTGCTTTAAAATTCTTATTTCAGGGATATTCCAAGGCTTTGAATGGATTTGTGAAATTGGGTCTTATAAACAGAGAAGTGTATCCTGCCCTTCGACCTGAGGCCAATCCTCTCAGCTGGGTGAGTGACTGCAGATAGCTGTGCTGCCTCCTTGCTCTTCTGAAATGGGCAAGTGTGAACTGCTTCGAACCAGCATAACTATGTTCCCAAAGTTGTTTTTATGAAATGCATGGTTTGTTTATCTTACATAAAAGGTTTCTGGGGAAAAAATATCTAAATTAAAAAAAGGAGCCCATTCTGTAGCGGATGTGCAGGATGATAAACCCACACCTCAGAGTTCCCTTTCCTTTCATTGTTATGGGTGCATGGAAAGGACCTGAGGAAAACAAACCAGACCTGTTTTTTTGCAGTAACTTCTACCATTTGGTTATTTCCTGAGTCCTGAGCAGAGGTGTGCTGGTGTCTACACGGAGCTCTGGGATCTCCCAGTTGTCTGAATGATGACCTAGGACAGATGATATGTGGCTCTGGTGAATGTGATAACCCAGGAGACATGTGGGTGCATCATGAATTTGGATTCCCAATCTTCAGATCCCATTAATCCTTTCACTCATCCATTCAGAACCATAAGGAATTCGGGTTTCAGTTACTGAGTTTATGCCTGAATCTGTTACATCAAAACCGTAGGGTGTCAGGGTTGGAAGAGACTTTGGAAATTTGGAACTGAATGTGAAGTGGAGTTTCTGCTAACTGCCAGGAATTGACTCATCACCATCTTGTCATTCAATTTAAACAAATATGCTCATATTCCAGTAGAAATACCCAAAACATAGCTCACAGAGAAAAAGACCTATATATTACTAATCCCATACAATTTTCCAAAAAATTTCCAAAAGAAACTGGTATTCTTGCTAGCTGTGGGGAGCAATCCGGACTAGACTAAGTTACTCGAATTAAGACTTATTCTATGCATCTGCTCTCCCACAATATGGCGCTGGGAGAGAAGTAAACAGCTTCCGCACAGCTGCCTCCAGTTCAACTAATAGACTGTAGGACTTGCTCCTGATTGGAGAGCAGCGTACTCGGCGTGTGGGCAGCCGAGTTGGGATTGGCGGAGGAGGACTATAAAGGAGGAGAGAGACGGCATGCACCAGGAACATCTATGAGGAACATCTAAGGGGAACACCTGTGCAGCCCCCCAGAGAGCCGGCCGGCGGTGTGCCGCTCCCCTGCGGAAGTGGGGAATGTGGCCAGGGGGAACTGCCCTTCCACGGAGGTGGAAGGGATAGTAGCCAACCCGGGAAGAACCAGCAGCAAACCCGGGGAGGGCCGAGCAGACGAAAGAACAGCGCAGGGTCCTGTGTCGTTCCTCCGCGAAGAGGGGGAGCGACAGCTAGCTAGTTGTTTTTTATTTCAGTTTTTGTTTTTTGTTAGTGTATATCCGTGAACATTTTCAGTCTATGTTTTACCTGTCATAAAGTTACTTGTTGGATTGAAGTGAAACAAATATTTGTTGAGGCAACTGAATTGGGGAGATCTGTGCAGGCATTTTTAGGGATGTCCCTGTGTCTTGGTGACTATCATCTAAAACAGGGTTGATAGACTTCTTTTGTAAAAGACCAGATTGTAAATATTTTAGACTTTATGGGCTATGCTGTCTGTTGGAACCACGAAGATAAGTAATGCTACACATAAATAAACGAGCATGATGCATTTCTTTTTCTATTTTTTGGATGCATTTCAATTAAACTTTTATTGAAAAAACCAGGTGCTGAGCCAAATTTGGTCAACCAGTTTGCTGACCCTTGATCTGGAGCTTAGCTTTTCCTTTACAATCCTGGAAAAAGTCTTGTTTAGAAATTAGAAAAAATGCAATAGCCACTGTTGAAGGGGTCTTACTTTGAGATTTTATTACCTGCAAGGTCTTTCTCAGCTCTTGAATCTATAAAAGAACTTTAGTTGCTACTGACAACCATAGTATCAGGCCCCTTCCACTTTGTCCTGCCCCAAATTGACTGCTTCTCAGAGAGTAGTGAAGAATAGGTGAATAGCTGTTGGTGAATCTTCAAAGGAGAAAATGTGCTGTTAAGTGTAGGACCATCTATTTAGTGCTGAGTTGATGTTACAACCCATTTTTATTGTTGAAACCTCATTCTGGAATATGATACATCTACTGACATGTAGGAGCACAAACATGTGTATATGTATTTGCCGTATATGCAGTTTTCTATTAGTAAATTTAAAAATTTGAGGTGTGTTTAAGATTCAATGTCTTAATGGGATAGCTTATAAGTTAATTTATTTTTTGTTTTATTAGGGATTTAGAGTTTTTTATCTTTATTTTTCTAACCAGAAAGAACTCCTCTGTGACCTAGTTGAGATTTCACCCTCGTCCAAGCATGATGAGCTGAAGGAAGCTGTTCTTAAGAAACTAGGAGGCGACAGCACCCAGATGGAGGCTGCTGAATGGTAAGGCACCTGCCACTCAGCTTGGAGCTGATACACTGGATCTACCACTATTTGGTCCTTTCTAGTCAAGAAAGGTCAAAGATATAGGCAACCATTTTGCATTTGTCTTTGACTATTTTGGTTCTCCAGTGCTGATCCATTATAGATTACCAAGTACCACATTCATGTGGGGGATAAAAAGGAGACAACGAGAGGAACTCAGTGGCAATTATGATTGGGGAAATACTTGTTTTGAAACACTTTACCATCCAATTTCCAAGCACAGTGGGATATTTTTGCTTTCATGTAGGAAATTCTCTCTGTATTTTCCCAATTACTTCAAAACTTCTATTTACATAATTGCTGTGCATTATGCTCACATACTTAATGTGGGAGAACCTGTAAATTCATCTAAAATGCTTTGTAATAATGTGAACTTATATTTCATTCTCTCTACTATACTATAGGGAGCCATGCCTGGGGGAATCTGGGGAAGACTCTAAAGGTTGAAACATTACTATTGTCATCTTACAATTAAGATACTCATAGATTGGAATGTCACCTTATGATTCTGCTCTTTCAAGATAACATTTTTTAAAAGATTTATTTATTTATTTGAAAGGCAGAATTACAGAGAGGCAGAGAGAGAGAGAGAGAGAGGTCTTCCATCTGCTGGTTCATTCCCCAAATGGCTGCAATGGCTGGAGCTGGACCTATCAGAAGCCAGGAGCTAGGAGCTTCTTCCAGATCTCCCATGCGGGTGCAGGGGCCCAAGGAATGGGACATCTTCAACTGCTTTTCCAGGCCATAGCAGAGAGCTGGATTGAAGTGGAGCAGCCAGGACTAGAACTGGCACCCTTGTGGGAAGCCAGCACTGTAGGCAGCAGCTTTACCTGCTAAGCCACAATGCCGGCCCCTCAAGATAAAATTTAAGGTTATCTTTTCTGCTTTTCCAATTGAGAGCACACACAGGGCTTGAACTAATGCAGCCATCTGTTGCACTTTTCAGGTTGGGCTTACTTGGAGATGAACAAGTTCCTCATGCAGAGTCCATTGTGGATGCGCTCTCCAAGCATTTGGCAATGAAACTTTCCTATGGTAGGCCATGGGATGTTGATTATTTCTGAAGAATAACAAGATAGAGTCAGTGCAACCAGAGAATTACACTGTAGGCAGGAGCCAAACACTCCTTGGGGAGGTGCAATGCTAGCGAAAGGGCACTTAGTCTGTTTTTCTAGAGGGAAGAGTATGAGAATCTCTTCTTATTGTCATAGGTAAAAATGAAGTTGGGTAATATGGGAAAGGGAAACAGTGGTTTTATCTTTAATTTTTAATGCATTAGAGAAAATACTGAAGGGATATTTTTGGAAGTGAAATGTGTGGTATCTACAGCAGTCTCTTAGTATCTGTAGTCAGGCTGACCTGAACAAAGGAGTGAGACCAGTGTTATACTTTTCTTGAGTTTTTCACTTGGTCTTCATGTTGAAAAGCCCTGTGGATAGTTGTCTAATGACTGTGTACAATGAGAAAGGACACTTCTGAGAGCAGAAGGGGAAATTCAATATTTGAGTTGTAATGGTTGTCACATTTTAAAATTTCTTTATTTTAAGGCCCTGAAGAAAAAGATATGATCGTGATGAGAGACAGCTTTGGCATCAGACATCCTTCTGGACACCTAGAAAGTAAAACGATTGACCTTGTGGTTTATGGAGATGTTAATGGCTTCTCAGCCATGGCTAAAACTGTGGGGTTACCCACTGCCATGGCAGCTAAAATGTTGCTTGATGGTAAGTTTTATGCACTTGAGGGCTGAGTCTATTTCTATACCATCACCAAGTCACTCAGTGCATGGATATATAATAATTACTCTGGAACACAACACTTATGGGTTTCACTAAAAGTGAGCTGTCGTAGAAGGTTCCAGCACTTGTGGGTCATCGTGTGGTGAATAAGGAACATGGGCTTTGGAGTTAGACCTGATTTCCACCCCAGCTCAGTATCACGGTGGCTCAATGATGCAGGGTACACGTTTTTCAGCACCCTGGAGCCAGGGTCTCCTCGTCTTGAAAGTGGGTGCTTATATGTGTCAGCTTTTCATTATTATAATGACATATCTGAGATAAGCTACCTAGGAAGAGAAGAGGTTTATTTAGCTCACTGGAGGTTTAAGTCCAAGACTGGTTGACCCCGTGTGTTTGGCCTCTGTGAGGACAGCAGCCGGCAATGCCAGAGCATGATTTGGTGTAGAGGAATGATCACGTGGTGAGCCAGGAACCAGAGATCAGCGGGTCCCGCTCAGGCTTTTGTAAGCAACCTCTCCTGAGAATTTCCTTCTGAGGGCACATCCCCAGTGACCTCAGGACCTTGAATGAGGCCCACATTCTAAATGCCACAACTGGATTCAGTTTCCTCTCTTTGGGGTTTTAAGTCCTCTATGATTTAAGGAACAAAATCATATTTAGCCCATAGAAGTATTACCATCCCTAGTTCACATTTGTGTCTGTGTGTTTGTGAAACTTAAGTGATAGAGAGTGTCAAATTCCTACCCCCATAAATGGTCCTCCAGGAAATGCAAACTCTCTTTACTTGGTTTTTGCAATTTTGGGAGTGACAGCTCTGAGATAGCAGGGGATATTCACTGATAGATCCTTAAGAATAGAGACAATACTTTATTAATCTTCATATCTCAGCACTGAATAAATATTTCAGACTATTGATGCCCCTTGAACTTTCCATGGGATTACACCTATATACACCCACCATAAGTTAAAAATTTGTTAAATAAAAAATGCATTTTCATAAAACTAACCTATAGATCATTCCAGCACAGCAACACAGTTCACTGAATCATCTTGGTTGTTCACCCTCCTGGTAACAACTGCTGATGCCTCACATCACCGAGAGTATTGTGTGCATATTGTTAGTCCAGGAACATATCAAACTTTAAAAATGTGAGGTACAGCTTCCCCTGAATGCATATTGTTTTTGCAGTGTTGAGAAGTTGAAAAAGCATAAGTTAAACCACGTAGTGGGAAACTTCTGTGAGTCAGTTCACGTTTTGAGTCTCCACTCTCCCCTTAAGATTCAATAAGTATCACCTCTGTATAGAATCCTTTATTTGACCCTTTTGAAAGACTGAGGAGGGGGTAGAAATCATGATGGCATATAACCATGAAATAATGAGAAAACTCATCTACAATGACATGTCAGCTAATATAAAATTAACCTGGATTTAGTTACTGAGGAACCCAGTGAAGAAGTGATCAGGCATGGGGTCATTGCAGCCTTGAAGCAAAGTGTATGGACTCAATAAAGAGCCTTCTAGTAGGTGACGGTGCTCACATAATAAGGGTGGCTTCAATTCACTCTGTTGGTGTAATCCCTGTAGCAAAAATAGCACCAGCCAGTTAACAGACCAGTCAGGCTTCCTTTCTTCTCTTTCTTCTCTGTCCTAGCAGTAATGAATGCAGCTAGGTGTACAAATTCTGACATTCTTTCTAAATCCAGCTGTGTTTTCAATCTAAAACCTACCCACTGTCCTTACAGAATGTTGATCAAGTAATCATTTAGCAGGGGACATTTAAACAACTAAAAAATGCCCATTCCTCCAACAGCCTACTGACTGAGTTTACTGTGGGGTGACACCTTCCATGTGGTGACTCTTGCTGGGGAAATGAAGCTTCTGTACCGCCTTTGAAATGGTAATCACACATTTATGTTCCTCTAGGTGAAATCCAAGCCAAAGGCCTGATGGGACCCTTTTCAAAGGAGATCTATGGACCAATACTGGAGCGGATTAAAGCAGAGGGCATTATCTATACTACACGGAGCACAATCAAACCATGATTGGGAATTATATTTTGTTTTCATCTTCCCAGGCAACACAGCTCTAATCACTTGCGTGACAAAGATGCTTGTCAATGTGCTATTTTATAAAGTATAAAGCACAATGTATTTTGATTAAGTCAATATAATTATTTTTTTTAAACATAAAGCTTTATTTTAATATGAAAATGTTTGGAATAGGAGGTGCCAGTAACTACCAGAATTTAATAATTCTATGTATTTTTTCATAAGCATGTGAAAGTGGTAGTGATCATGCTATTTGTTAATTTATTGTGTCACTTTTTTCTTACAAGAACACATTTTCTAAAATCAGAGATGCAGTTTTACTTTTTTGGTTACAAAAATGTCATCCCTTAGCTATACTTTTGCATTTTTCAAATTGATTCTTTTTAGAGTCCTTTAGGTTACTTATTAACAAACCTTTACAAAGTGCTATTTAATGCCTTTTTAGTAAGGTTACAATTTATTTAGTAAGTATCTTTCTTATAGTTTTCTCTTGAGTTTATGGAAAAGGGACTAAATAACATTAAACTCAACTCACTTGATCACCTCATAAGGCATAGTAAAAGTATTTAACAAAATCAAACACCTTTTTGTAATAAGAGGCCTCAATAAACTAAAAGGGAACTTCCTCACTCTGAAAAAGGCATCCGTGAAAAACCCAGAGCTTGCCTCATACTTGATGATGAAAGACCAAATGATTTCTCCCTAAGATCAGCAAGAAGGCAACAGTGTCTGCTCTGAGCCTTTCTGTGCAGCTTATACTGGACAGTTAGGCAAGAAAATGAAATAAAAATGATCCAGGGTGGAGAGGTAGAAGTAAAACTCTACCACAGATTATGTGCTCTTATTCATAGAAACCCAAAGGAAATCCATAGAAAATCCAAAGATACACTCTTAAAGAAAGAATTAATAAATGAATTCAGCAAAGTGTCAGGACAGATTAGTGGTTAGAAACTGATTGTCTTTTTTATACAGTATCAATAAATAAACAAAGAACAAAAAATGATATTATGAGAGTGATTCAGTTTTCAGCATCATCAGGAATAGGATAGTAATAGAATTGTGAGTCTAGAAATAATACATTTATGTCTAAAAGGTGCTAAAACAATTCTGGGGGAGGATATCTTTTCTATCAAATGGTGCTTGGAAGTCTATAGATATACATGCAAAATACTGAAATCAAATCCTTACCTCATACCACATATAAAATTTAATTCAAAATGTATTTTTACACTAAATATAAGAGCTAAAACTGTAAAATGCTTAGAAGAAAATGTAGGTGTCTTTATGAACTTGTATTAAGTACTGCTCTCTTAAATATCACTCAAAACACATGTAACAAAAGAAAAAAATAATTCATCGCAGTCATCAAACTTAAAACATTTTGTGCTTCCTAAAACACCATAAAGAAAGGAAAAAGACCCACAGAATGAGAGAAAAATGTTGTTGATCTTATATCAGGTAATGGAGGAACTTCTATACAGAATATAAAAAGAACAGTTGTAACTGAACAAAAAAAGATAAATAACCTAATTTTTAAAATAGACAAGGGATCTGCATTGACAATTCTCCAAAGAAGCTATCTAGGAGGCCAATGAGCTCATGCCAAGATTCCCAACATCATTAGCCAGAAGGGGCATATAAATCAAGTGGATGAGATACCACTTTACCCACAAGGACGGACCTAATACAAATGATGACAACACATACTGGTGAGGATGAGAAATTGGAACCCTCATACCCTACTGATGCATACTCAGGAAAAAAATGAAAACATGTATCTACTCAAAAACTCATGCAGAGATGTTCCTAGCAGTTGTATTCATAATAGCTAAAAATAGAAACAACACAAATGTTCAATGTTCATCAATGAATAAAGGAATATATAAAATGTGATATATGCATACGTTGGGATAGTAGCCAGCCACAGAAAAGAAACAATGCATAGATATTGTCTACAACATGGATGGACATTGAAAATATGCCAAGTGAAGGAAGTTAGACTCAAAATGCCACATCATTTTATGATTTCATCTATATGAAGTGTCCAGAACAAGAAAATTTATTTATGTGAAAAGTAGATTAATGATTGCCCAGGACTGGAGGGCTGGAAGAGGAAGATGGAGTGACTGCTAATGAGTGTGGAGTTTCTTTTTGGAATAATAAAAACATTGTAGAGTTGACTGTGGTAATGGTGGCACCACTGTGGATATACTAAAAACCACTGAATTGTATAATTTGTGTGAATGTTATGGTATGTGAATTGCACTTACATTGTTATAAAAAGACAAAATAACAAATAAAATTTGCTCCTTTGGGAAATAACTTGTCTTTAGATATATAAATTGTTTCTTTTACCTTCATGCATTTTGCTCATATCTCATTGAAACTAATTCTGCCTTTGAAGTAAACAGGTGCTAAACTTGGGGTATATAACAATTGAGAAAGCATTTGATGTTTTATTTGGAATGGGTCAAAATGATTAAGGGCTGGCCCATTCTATTATAAATAATATATGTACATCAATAATCCAAAATAAGTAAATACATTTTTGGGCCAGCCCTGTGGTGCAGCAGAATAAGCCGCCATCCTCAGTACTAAAATCCCATATGGGTACTGGCTCAAGTCTTGGTTGCTCCACTTTTGATTCAGAACCCTGCTAATGTGCTTGGGAAAGCAGCAGATGATGGTGCAAATAGTTGGGCCCCTGTACCCACATGGGAGACCAGCAAGAAGCTCCTGGCTTTGACCTGGCCTAGCCCCAGCTGTTGCAGCCATTTAGGGAGTGAATCAACAGATGGAAGACCACGCTCTCTCTCCCCTGTTTAAAAAAAAAAAAAAATTTGTAATGGAATTGTTTCCATCACAACATCAGCCAATTAGGAAATATCTTCTGTCACATTGATTTCACCCCCAATCTAGAATATTTCAAAGATTGGGAACTGGGAAAGCAGCACCTTAATGGAATGGGGGCACTTGTAAGCTGTCAATATAATTAGTTTGAGCTTTTTGATAAAAATACATGCTTGGGCCCTGCACCCCATGGGAGACCAGGAGAAGTACCTGGCTCCTGCCATCGGATCAGTGCGGTGTGCCGGCCGCAGCGCGCTGGCCGTGGCGGCCATTGGAGGGTGAACCAACGGCAAAGGAAGACCTTTCTCTCTGTCTCTCTCTCTCACTATCATCTCCGGTGTGGGAAAAAAAAAAAAAAAAAAAAAAAAAAAAAAAAAAAAAAAAAAAAAAACTGTAAAAAAAAATACATGATAAAGGGGATGTAATTAAAGAGCTGATCAATGTTGGTGGTTACAGAAAAGGAAATATCAGTGAGCTTGAAGAAAGCTATGTGTAATCAAACACTGCCTTAGCTCTCAGAATCAAATCTACTATAGAAATTCCAGTATTAAAGGTGGTGTTAGGGGCCAGCACTGTGTCGTAGCCGGTAAAGCCACAGCCCGCAGTGCCGGTATCCCATATGGGTGCTGGTTCAAGACCTGGTTGCTCCTCTTCCGATCCAGCTCTCTGCTATAGTCTGGGAAAGCAGTAGAAGGTGGACCAAGTCCGTGGGCCCCTGCACTCATGTGGGAGACCCAGAAGAAGCTCCTGGCACCTAGCTTTGGATTGACACAGCTCAAGTTGTTGCAGCCATTTGGGGAGTGAACCAGCAGATGGGAAACCTCTCTCACTCGCTCTCTCTAACTCTGTCTTTCAAATAAATGAATAAATCTTTTTTTTTAAAGGTGGTTCTAGGTGGTGTTAGTAGGGTCTTGGGAAAATCACATGTGTTACAGTTATAAGCACAGGGCTCTGCCAAGTGTCAACCATTTTTTTTCTATAAAGGGCCAGACAGTAAATATTTTAGGCTGTGCAGAGCAAACATGTTATAATTGCTCATTTCTACATTTGTAGTGTGGAGATATCTATCTATCTATCTACCTACCTACCTACCCACCCAAAGCAGTTTTCCAATAACAGCTTGCTTACAATAAGAGATTTGGCCCTTGAACTATAATTTGTGGGTCCCTGGGCCAACTACTCTACTAAAAATAATGTTCACATTTTCTAGATCTTTCTACCTGTTTTGGCCCCTTCTGAATAATACCAATATTTGTATGAGGATCATTCAGTTTCCCTTGTTCTGGACTCACAAGAGACTAGATCGCAGTAGATGCAGTGTGATGAATTCTACACCGATCTTCTACTTCCCAGGCACATTGTAAGTGTTTGCCCCTGGGTCCCTTACCAGCTCAAGAGAAAAGAACTAAAGCTGTGGTGAACAAAGGCTTCCCATTCAAAGAAGCCCAGCCTGATTTCCTCTCCACAAGGATCTCAGTCTACAAATACCACCTACAGGCACATAGCTTTCATTCAGTGTTTTACTACCACAATTTTGAAAATGATCAGACAGCCTAGACATCTGAGAAAAAAATTTAATATGGAACACAGAGCCCAGTGCAAGAAACTATTTAAAGAAAGATAAGGTAAGAAAAGTAAAAGCAACTTGGAAGAAACAAGGTTTGTATAAGGAATAGAAAATCAGGAGAAAATCTATTACTGATCTCCTAGCAGAAATTTGGAGACATAGAGCATCTATGCTAGAATTTTTTTAGCCAGAGTGACTGGTTCATGCCCTGGCTCCTCCAATTCCTTTCTACTCAACTTCTTGCTATTGTGAACCCTGGGAGACAGCAGATGATGGCTCAAGTACTTGGATCCCTGGGGTGGGCATTGTGGCACAGAAGGTAAAACTGCTGCTTAGAATGCCCACGTCCAGTATTGGACTGCGAGCTGGAGTCTTGGCTACTCCACTTTCAATTCAGCTCCCTGCTAAGAGAGCTGGGAAGCAATGGATGACAGCTCAAACCCTTGAGACCCTGCCAGCCATGTGGGAGACCTGGTTGAAGTTACTTTCTCCTGGCTTTGGCTTGGCCCAGCCCTGGCTGTTGCCACCGTGTAAGAAGTAAAGCAGTGGATGGAAGATCTTTGTCTCTCTGCCACACTGCTTTTTAAATAAATAAATATATAAATCTTTAAAAGCAAGTATCTGAGTTCCTGCCATCTACATAGGAGACCCAGACTAAGTTCCAGGCTTCTGGATCCTGACTTTGGCTGGATTCAGCCCCAGCTGTTGTGGGAATCTGAGGAGTGAACCAATGAATGAGAGATCCCTTTCTGTCTCTCTCTCTCTCTTTCAAATAAAATTACAACAAATACATCTAAAAAAAACTTGTTCCCAAATGTATATTAGAACAAAACATACTACTACTTTCTGATGGAAATTGTCTTAATAAATATACAAATATTCAATGTCAATGTTATAATTAAGTCCCCCTTCTATTAGTGCACGATTTGTACATTCATGCAAAGTAGCTAACCTTATCATATTTTATATGGTATTAACTTTCTTCAGAATGGTTTATATTTATGGATTGTTTGCAGTGGAACTTCATTTACCGGACCTGACTTTTATTGGAATGGATCCAATGAGAAAAGATGGCTGTTCCGGAGCAATACTTACTAATCATTCACATCTTATCTAATAACTTCCTTTTGCCAATTTTGTTTTAGTCATAATACTGGTTCTTAATTTATATTAATTAGCAAGAATTACAAATCACAGTGTTAAGAATCCTAACTTGTTAGGTTAAGAGTTTACATTTCTCTAGTTTAAGTTGTTGGTGTAGTGAAATAGAAGATTTCTAGTGCCTTCTAGTCTTATGTGGATTGATAATGTGTATAGAAATTCATAAACCCTGGAAATCCCACTCCCAGCCTCAGAGCCTCATGAATTGCATTGATATTTCTCTCATCTTTGATTGAAGATGACTCTGGAATGTTGCCAGGCACAGCTAACCAGGCACTTGGCTCCAATAATTTGAGTTCATTTCTTCTGAGCGTGGTTCATAGCGAGGCTGGCACAGAGTAAAACATTCCTCCACAGAAACCTGATAACCCCAATATAGAAAAGCTGTGCTTGCTGTATTAACAAACTATTGATAAAAGATAGCTTGTTCTCATCATCTCGAGAGAAATACTTACAAGGAAATAGAAGTCAAATGGGAGTTGGTACACAGAATAAACCAGAATTGGTATAAAAATGTGGAGGAAATCAAGAAGATAGATGACAGAGCAGCAACTCAGAAAGGCGCGAATTGTTAAAATATTTTAGCAATCTTAGCCAAATATATTTGGCACAGTGGTTCTACTTAGTTTCTGGATTATGACATTTAAGTTTTAACATTGGCTGAAATTGTGCAAATGGCTTAAAAGTCACATGCTTAATGACGATGATGGTCCTTTGAGCCACTCATTCATCTGATCATTGCTCGAATGTTGATGGTCTTCACATTTTTTTCTTGGCTTTTATTTCCTTTCTCTGTGTACAGTCTCTCTGGGTGCATGCATGTATGCTGTCCTATGCCTTTGAGTACCATCTGAATACCATTGGAATGCCAGCTGAATCCCAAACGTTCTCACCTGAGCTTCAGAGTGTATATGCAACCACCTACTGACATCTGTCTGGATATTTCCCAGACTTCTTAAACTCAATGTAGATTTAAGAGTTTATAATATAGTTTTTATCAATAGGACAATTCCAGTAATTTATTCTTAAAACAGATCCTCCACATGATTACTCATTTCAAGAAATGGAAACAATTATCTGATTGCTATGGTTATAATCCTTGATGCTCTACTTTATTGCATTCCCCCATTCAACAAATTGAGGTTTTTTCCTCTTTTCATTAAATTCTTTGATGCCACCTGTATCTCTGTACCCATGTGCAACTAACCCCATTCAGACTACTATCATATTTTACATGGATCATTGCTACAGCTTTCTTGCCTGACTTGTCTGCCTCTATCATTATCCCTCTGTTATCCATTCTCCTTATCACAAACACATCAATCTTTTAAAACTACAAATATGCTTATGTTCCTCCCCTGCTTAAGCCCTGTAGAGGGCTCTCCATTTCTCCCAGCACAAAGTTCAGACTCCTTATTCAAGCCTGTAGAGAACTGCATAAATGCCCCTCCCCTGTAAATCTTTTCAGTCTTATTAACTGCTCACCTCCCTGCAAGTGGTTTTGATTTGCATTTCCCTGAAAAGTAGTTATGCTGAGCGTTCATGTATCTGATGGCCATTTTTATTTCTTCTTATGAATAATGTCTGTTCAGATATGTTGCTCATTTTATAACTGGATTCTTTGTGTTATTGAGTTCCTTATATATTTAGTTATCAACCCCTTATCAGATGTATAGCCTGCAGATATTTTCTTCCATTCTGTCAGCTGTTTCCTTTTTTTTTAGAAAACTCTGTGGATTGTTTC